TGGTTCCTATGGACCCAGCATGCTGCCAGGTCGAGTTGGACCCACCAAGTTCTGAAACATTGCACGAATATAACACCCTCTACCTAGTTATATACAAATCCTCTATCTGGTTTTAAATAACAAGTAGTTTCATTCCCTATAAAGCCATATAACAGCAATGGCCCATGGCTATTATAACAGTGTACAACCATTTTCTTAACCTTGATCCTTGCCCAATAATGAATGTTAGCATACAAAGTATGGATAGATAGCAAAAATGGTCATGGTCATTGTTGCTAGGATTCCACTGGTTTTTTCCAGACTCTTGTAACTTCCCCGAAATCTATTGGTGTCCCTAGTTCAGCACCTGAGAAACGTTTTCTCTCCTACCAAATACATAAAAAGCAAGGAATCAGCTAATCTGCCCTACAGTGCCATCACCACTTTAATAGGCACCCGGCATTGATCCATAATCTAGGATATCTCTGTATAGACATTTTAAGATGAACTCTGGTTGCCCTGGAACAATAGCGTCAAAGCAAGAGCCACATTCCTTTTCTAATTGTTTAGGGTCATATTGATGAGATCCACATTCCTTTCTTTTTTCTAATCGTTTCGGATCATATTGATGAGGGTATAGAACACTTCCCAGTTGCAATAATGTACGGGTGAGCAAGATGCATTTAGTAGCACCAACCATAACAAATTTATTATCCATCAGGCACTTGACATTTCATTATTATAGCTGACAATATCGGTGGATATGGCCTTTAATAGAGCAGAATGGAGAACCAGGCTTCATGTAGCCGATCCCAATTAATTGGGAAAAGGCTAAAATGATGACGATCTGACAATATCGGTGCTATGGCACTCTTGATAAAGGTGGATTCCTAATCCAACCAAAATCGTTGACATTAGAGATTGAGTGTGAAGTCATGAGCTATTCTACCTTGAATGAGCAGCATCTGATTATTGGTATCCGCATGAACTAACTTAAAAACTTTTACCACATTTCATAAAAAGTAAGCCCACAAGTTTACATGCCAACTATCAGGCGAGGAACCATCCTATGCTTGAATTTCATTATGGTAATACCATCACTAATCCTATGGTAATGGTACTTAAAAAATGGACCAGTCCCAAATTATCACAGCTGATGCCTTTGACAGTGGCGTGTAGCACCAACAAATCATTTTTTCCTCATTTATTTTTGTCAAAGCTAATGAGAAGCTCTCTTTCTTTTACGTCCATGTTGATAAAAAGTTTCATGAGGTTATTAAAGTATTGAGGCAATGATAATGGCAAATATGCTTTTGTTTCTATGAGGTTAGTGGTAAGTATATTTTGCATGCCTTTTCTTCTTTTCTTTAAACTCCTTGGGATACAACAACCTAATCATGACCTTACACACCTGAGAAAAATTGGGTTGTTGAACTTAAATACCATCTGATCATTGAGACAGCTTTACCTTTTTCTTCTTCTTCTTTTTTTTCCATATGGCTTTATCTCTTCTATTCATCAGAATGTCCCACCATTTGTAGTCCAGAGCCTTTCAAATGGTCGTCTATACGAGCAACCTTCATTAGCCATCTAAAGACACTCTGCATATGCGATTCGTGTATAATTGTACTAAATATCCTATGAAACCATTTTTTACCACAATTTGATCTACAATGTAAGCCATAGAGAGATCAATTTGATGCTCATGCTACCTCCAGCACAATCATGGGATACAGTAGCACACACGAGGGTAACAAGTGTTATAATCCTTTTAGAAATAACGATATAAAAAAAATGATGTCCTTTCAGACATTACATGTTGAGTTCTGATGACACATTCAAGGAAGAAAAGTATTCTATGCACTCCAGCTTGGGCTACAAATAATCCATTTTCAATGTCTACTCTTAACCACCCCAAACCCAACCCACCCCAAAAAAAATAAAAATAAACACCACTCAGCCATCACTGACAGCTTCGCCACTGATCAGATATAGATAGATTTATGACCAAATCAATTTTTGAATTTATTTCATTCGCTACACTGTATAATAGTCAGATGGCATCACTTTAGAAGTTAGAACCATCACCTTCATTATCCTTGTCTTCAAAGCTAGCATAGTCATGCATGGAGCATTCTAATTCTCATGCCATCCTCACCAATTCTAGAAGCCAAAAAGTGTTTGACATCCTGCCTACTCGCTGCATGTACCAAGAAAGAGTCACTTATATTGGTTCTTTACAACAGAAGCAGCTAAATTTAAGGAAGTAAACTGACATAGAGCTGGTTTCTTTATTCCTAAATGGTAGTAAACTACATGAACTCTTGCGCCAATGATTATTTCCCATCTGCTATCCCAACATTTTCTATTTAGGTCTCTGCTGGACCTGAGTGATCATATCCTATCAAATGATCTTGACGAGTATGTGTGTGTTATAGCCTTGCTTTGCAACTTATGTTACTTATGGTTGTGAAAGGGCTTTCCTTAGCACCATCATCCCTGTCTCTCATACAACTAGCAATTTCAACAAAACTAGAACGCAAAAATGCGATTGGCTTGATAGGGGTCAACGAAATCTGTTAGTAGGTCAATTGTGCCGAACCGTTCGGTCACTTTGCATGAGTGTCTATGATATTTGAAATCTCAGGAGAGAGATTGAAGACTTGCCTAGGTCAACTTGGTTTACAAGTCCAGTTTATGAATGGGGAATAATTTGTCCTCAACAAATCATTTTTCTTTTTCTTTTTTTTTGGTTCTTTTATTGATTGGTAAATAAATTTCATTAATCAACACTTAAAAAGAAAAAAAGAAAAAAAACTAAATTTCATTAATCACAAAAGATGTACGTCATATTAGCTATAAAATAACCAAGTCTGTATGTACTAAACTCTATTCACACCTTTCCTAGACATTAAAAAAAATATGGAAACATATCAAATTACAACTCACAGATTAACTATTTAACATTTTACCCATATCGTTTGTTTTAATTTCAAAAGGTCCATCAAAAAGACACATAATAATGTATTGGCATAGTTGAAAATGGGCAAAATGTTTAATAGTTGATATTTTAGGCTTTTTGATAAATTTTCCAAACGATTAACTAATGTTAACAGTGATTTAAAAAGCGGACCACCCAATGCCTAGGCGATCCAGAAGGCCTGGGTGATGTGGTAAAATTATTTGGATATCCCTGGGCGCCTACCGAGGCGGCCGCTTACACCCCGCCCAGGGGTGGAAATGTCATTTGTTGAGGGCATTTTTTTATCCTTTTTTTAATACTAAAGGGGAACAATTGTGGGTTTTAGGTTCATTTGAAACCCAAAACTTATTATAGCCTATTTTAGAGAGAGAAAAATCGCACAATTTTTTTCTTTCTACTGGGTCGCCCAGGTTCTGGGCGCCTACCTAGGTGCTAAGTGAACTGGACCCCCCCCCCCCCCCCCCCGGCCCGCCTAGGTGCCGCCTAGCTCTTTTTGAAACAATGAATGCTAACAAACCATATTTCCCTCCTTTCAGAGTCCCTTCAACACTCATCCAAATCTTGTAAACAAATACAAAATACCCAAAAGAAAAGAAAAAATTTGGTCATAGACAATTCAAATCGAGACTCTCTCCTCTAAAAGTTACTGCTTATAAAAACTAATCAAGGACTCTACAATTTGATTTTGTTAGGAAATAGGTCATGTATCGAAGTAAGTAAAGTTTTAAACCTTGCTTTATAAGAACTAAATAGTGGGAGACTAGAATTAAGAAAGTTTGCACCAGAAAGTTGTACTTACTAACCACAACCTCATTGACCATAACGGCCCATGAGAAACACCTAGGACAGAGAGTTGGGATGATTTATGATTTTCTCTTAAAAACACCTAGGAAGCATTGAGAAAAAACTATATCGGAACAGAATTCTTCCTAAGTACAAATTTTGTACGGTCACATATTAATAAACATTTAACCCTATAAAGAAAAATGCCAAACACAGGCAACGCAGAGAACTGGCTCTAAGTTAACATTCAAAAGAAGTAAAATAAAAGGTAATGCATGGCAACTTTTAATTTACAGATGAAATTTTGTGAAGTTTCAAATATATTGTTTGTTCTAGTGAACATGTAGCATGTCAAGTAATTTGATTGATGTTTGGAGTTATATGCAACCCTGAATAACTGAGTGTTGAAGATTTATTCTTCAGTTGAGCATGAGGATGAATAGCTAGGCTAAAAAGTAAGTTTCCTTGCAGATGAAAATACAACATCTGTCTTCTTTAATCTCTTATGTTATTTGCAAATAATAACGGAAAAGGAGTTCCTGAAGGCTGATTGGCTTTTCATTAAGGCCATAAATGGTATTCCAGTGCATGACATCCTCAAAAGTTAAGCTTGAGAAAGTGACAGCAAAGTAAATCAAAAGGGCAAGGAAGATGATTTTGGCATCAAAGGCAGCTAGACTAATAGACGCACAACAAATAATCCTTGATATGGAGCTCATTTTCATAAAGCAAATAGTAAGTTGCCAAAAGAGAGAGAGACAGAGAGAGAGAAGGGGAGGGGGGGGGATAAAACTATATTATGCCTCCCTAGATTACTAAATTCCAAGAGGCTTCATTACGGCCCTGGCCATAACCAAGCCTAGAATTTCTCGAAAGCAAGATATCCATATGTCAAACATGGCTCGCAGTATAGGGGAAGTGTTACCAAGGACTAATTACGATTTTCTCAATATATCATATGCATGTTTTATTCTCTTAATAGCATTTTTTAGTGTTCTTCCTCTCACATTGTGAACACTTGCACCGATTCACAGGTGTCTAAAGAAAGCATACATCAAGCCTTTTGCAAGTCTGACACATCTAAAACCGTTAATTTTCAAATGAAATAGCGCAAATTGGGTATCTCACTTGAAAATAAGGCCTTCATCTGCAACCAAAATAAATAAATAAAACAGAGAGAATCATGGATAAAACAACATCCATGAAAAGGCCAGCTAAATAAATTAACAAGTTCTTTTTAAAAGATAGAAGGGACCTGCTTGGCTGCTCGAACCAATGCAGCACTCATAATCTTGGGTTGCTCTGCAACATTGGCTGCATCCTCCACTGGTTTTGCAGGGGGCTCTGGATAATTCGGAGAAAGGCGAACAGGTGGGGCATCTCTTTGAAGAGTTCCAAAGGTATTGAAAGCAGTTTCTGCAATTGTATTGACTTGCTCTTGCAACTGGGTGATGATGTCCATCAAATCTAAAATTTAGCAATGGACTTGTCCCTACAACAATAAATAAATAAACCATAAAGCAAATGAATTAGTAATTTTGATTATAAACATGTACCAAATTTAACAGATCATAAATGAACGTGAAATTTAATCCATCATCTAACCACAGAAAAAAAGAAAATAATAACAATAATAATAATAATCGAGCAAGAACAAAACCAATCAATTAAATTGCAAAATTTAGCTTCTTGTGCACTTCCACAATTCTTGTGCTTTTGAAAGTTTTTCTTTTTAATGAGAAACAATTGCTTTGCAAATACTTTATGACTCCTATACTATATAAATCTGTGAGCTACAATCAATTGCATTGTATCAGTAAACCTGATAATAATAGTCATCAATGATCCCTTGTTTTCTTGTGATTGAAAACCATTTATTGCAGTAATTTGAACATGGATAAGAATTTCGCTTGAATTCTCTGATATTTAAAGAAAACCCAGTTTTCCTTCCATGCAAATATCCAAAGGAAAAAAGATCAAGTTTTCCTCCATGTATGCAAGACAATCAAATTCCGCTAAACAGATAGTCGTTCTTTGAAGCAGGGGAAAACCCTAAACTGAATCCAACGTTTCTAAGCCCTAGAATTCCATTAGGAACTAAATCGATCAAGAAACCCAATGGTGGGGAAACTATAGATCCTACAGAAACATGGCATTGGATTGATTTTAAGAATAGAGGAAAGATTAATGGTATAACGTAATTGAATAAATTGTGTTACTCGAGCAAATGAACGCAGGAACTTTGAACCGCCCCTTTCGGTGCGAATATATCTGTCAAATCTCCTATCGACTTCTACATTATGAAGCGAGGGAAATGCTGCAGCACTATAAATATAAATAAAGCCTCACCTCATAATTCATTGAAATTGCTATTGAAGTATTCAAAAAACCATCTCTATCGATCATCTCGGCTCGAACACTATGGTTTTAAAAAAAAATAGGATTTAAAGCTCTAAAATAGTGTATCTTGCAGCAAATAATTTATGCGGTCTATTTTGCCCTAGAAATAAGTTTTCATAGATCCTTCCATTTTTTTTAATTTCAAATTTTATTGTTGGTATTAGAAATTGATTTTAGAGCCAGTCGAGTACTTTCTAAACAAAGGTCCAGGTGAGGCTTTATTTTGTTTTCATAGAGCCTAGGCCTTATAGAAACTTCATCTTTCTTTAATGTTATGATTTATTTTACAATTGCATCAATATCTTTTCAACTTGCAAAATAATTAGTCAATATCTTTATTACAATTTGTTAATGGAATATTTAAAAATTCAATTGTCAGATAAATTTCCGATTTTCAAAATTTGAAAATGTTGGGGGACGCTAAAATGTAATTTTTTGGTTGTTCAACATCCAAAAGTTTTAAAATAGCATTTGAAAATCTGGAAAAAGGCAATTTGTTCATTAGAAAAATAATGAGTACCAATGTAATAACATAAAACTAATAGTAAAATATAAATAATCTTAAAAAAAAGCATA